CACCTTACCTAACCTAACCCCACATCACCTAACCTAACCTCAACACACACTGGACCAAACCTAACCTAACCAATAATTATCTGGTGGTTTGATGAAATATGAAGGCTGCGAGGGTCCCGTCTGATCTTAGGGGCTAAATGTGTGTGTATATGTCTGTCTGTCTGTCTGTCTATTTATAAGTGTATCTGTCTCTCTGTCTGTCTGTCTATCTGTTATAATTGAGAATCAGAACAGAACCTCTTAAATAAACACATTAATCTCTCACCCACAACAGAGAGAGAGAGAGAGAGAGAGAGAGAGAGAGAGAGAGAGAGAGCAGACGCAACGACATTGGTCAACTCATTTGCTAACTAGACCATTCCACTTACGTACTCCTACCACTAACTATACAGTACTTAAACTCTAAAATGTATGAAATAAATTAGTGTACTCCCCGTTTCACAATCTCGAGGCGAAATTAGGTGGATGAGTTGGGGCCGTTTGGCAACACACACACACTGCCTCCCCACGGTACATCAGTTGCCATATGCATCATGTGTTGCATGTAACTTATTTTAATGTAAACTCTGATTAGTTGGATAAATTAAACTGCTTTTGGTGTTTGGTTTATTTTTTGGTGTTGTTTTTATTACGTGGTTTATCAGATATGAGTGGGATTAATGTGTGTTTTTTTTCCTGTGTTGATAACCGAATCGAGTTGCTTTTAGAATTTGCAATACAATGTAATCTTGTGTTCAGTTTCCGTTCCAGTTACTGTAAGATTATTTTGATTGTGTTGATGGGGTTAAAGACGCAATAATAATAATAATAATAATAATAATAATAATAAATACAACGAATTTAACTAGATACATTACGGAAATAAGAGATTTATTTAGGCAAATTCGATTGATCAACTCGAGTCTCCCGCCCCCAAACCTGACTGGACTAGGGATGGTCGACACAGATAAACCATACGGGGGAAAATCCTCTACCCTGGAGTACCTAAACCACCCTTATGATCGTATTCTCTGACATAGATACTCGTAAGGTCTAGAATCACATAGAGAAATAAGGGTTGTATCGTCCTTAAAGGCAACGGTTTATGACACAGATAGCTCGTAAGGTTGACAATGGTATGGCCGGGGTAAGGAGAGATGGTCCTTATGTTATGTGGGTCAGGCAGGTGGCTCGTTCCCCCGGCCCAGCCTCCCGCCCACCAAGCCTCTGACTGAAGAAAGTTAGGCATTGGAGTCGCCCCCCCCCCCTGAGGCCCTACGGTATTCCTAGTAGACAGTTATGCTACTTAGCTCTCACTAGCCATACTAGCCCCTGGAATGTTATAGAACACCCACTAACTAGTAATTATTGGCCCTACACCATGGTATTCCTAGTATAGAGTTATGCTAGTACATCCACTACTAGGCATCCCCATTACCTACTAGTACAGGTATACTAGTTTTTATTACCAGTACTTACCTGCACCCACCCTCCCTCAGTACAGTTATACCACTTGTTATATCAGTATGCAATAGACTCATATATTCAGGGTTATATACAAGTTTTCCTTCTTATAGTTGATATATAATTTGTTATAGGTATTAAAAATATAATTACTTCTATTTTACAACGAATTAAGATGTTAAGTAAGTGTTATTTATTACCCCAAGAGATGACGTAAGCGATCAGCTGATATAATGGAAAGTAAACAAATATGGCCGGCACCTGTCAGCTGATGTAAACAAAATATTGGTGCGTAAGACATTGTTGTTCTTTGTGTTCAGAGGTTAGTAGTCCAACATAACAGCATATATTCATTACCACTACCACCATTAACAATCACTACCAACTACCACAACCTCTACCAGCCACCACAATCACTGCCACCACTACCACCAGCTGGGTGAAGTATGGCAGACCGAACACCATCTGGCAGTCAATGTGTACTTTCTCTGCCACACACCCTCACTACTCTCTCACCACTCTCACTCCTTCCACCACTCCCCACCACTCCTCACCACCCTCCTCACTCACTCCCTCCCCACCACTCTCCACTCACCCCCCACCACTCCTCTCACCACCCCCACCACCTCCTCACCACTCTCCTCACTACTCCTCCACCACCTCACTACCTCTCACCACCTCCCACCACTCTCCCCACCACCTCCCCACCTCACACTCCCTTCCACCACTCCCTCACCACCTCCTTACTAATTCTCCCCTCACTACTCCTCCCTCACTACTTCACTACACCCTCACTACTCTCCTTCACTCAATACTCCCCTCCCCTCACTACTCCTCCCTCACTCACCTTCACTACTCCCCCCTCACTACTTCCCTCCCTCATCACTTCCCCTCTTTACGTCTGTCAGTTCATCCTTCCGCCATTATCACGTCCGTCCGTCCGTCCCAAATTCATCTTTCGTGAAGGTACAAAAACTAGTATGTACCAGAGAGAGAAATTCTATGGTACTTCTCTCACGTATATACAATTTTGCACACACACACACACACTTACTAACTCTCTCCCTCTCGCACGCAAGCACACACACACTACACCTCGACCTGAATAAATATAAAAGAGAAATAAGTGAGAGTTTCTTTGTCACACTTAAGATCATAACGTCTTCTCACACTTCATATTTTGTCCAGTGGTTTACACTCATGTATGTTTTGTCCAATGATCACACTAATGGGGTCATAGATGTTGTATTTTGTCCAGTGGTTCACACTCATGTATGTTTTGTCCAATGATCACACTAACTGGGTCATAGATGTTGTATGTTGTCTAGTTTCACACTAACGGGGTCATAGATTTCAGATTTTGTCCAGATTTCATATTATTTTGTTTACCTGCATACATTTTCAAGGTAACATTGTCTACCTGTCCAGCCTCAAGGTAACATTGTCTACCTGTCCAGCCTCAAGGTAACATTGTCTACCTGTCCAGCCTCAAGGTAACATTGTCTACCTGTCCAGCCTCCAGGTAACATTGTCTACAGCCTCAAGGTAACACTTTTGTTTACCATTGTTGGAGGGAATAACACTCACACCTCCACCACAAAAAAAACTCCATTCTCATATAATTTGGGAATTTCCTTCCATTTCCCAGCGATTCCAGGCGATAATTTCCTCCCCTATCCCCCCTTCACCCTCCCCCCTCCCCCCTCCCCCCCCCCCCCCTTCCTCCCTCCGCTCCCTTCTCACTCCCTCCCCCTCTGCCCTTCCCTCCTTCCCCCCTTCACCCTCCCCCCTCCGCCCCTTCACCCTCCCCCCTCCGCGAGACAGACGGGCTCCCTGGTGAAGTCAGTGGGTGATTAGAGGTGATTAGCGCGACGATTGTAAGTAGTTAGAACGGTGATTGTGAAGGATTATTACTTAGTATTGTTCTCGTGTGTGTAGATGGGGATTGTGTGATTGGCTAATGACTGTGTGATTGGCTAATGACTGTGTGATTGGCTAATGACTGTGATTGGCTAATGACTGTGTGATTGGCTAATGACTGTGTGATTGGCTAATGACTGTGTGATTGGAGAAGAGTTGTATGATTGAAACGATTACCGTATGATTAGGGAGGTCACTGCATAATTGATCAGGTCACTGCACACCTTTAAACTATTCCCTAACCATCTTTAACAAACACCTATGTATATTTCTTCACCTCATTAACTTACGAAAGTATATATAATTCAGTTTGTATAATTAAGTATATATAATTTAATTGGTCATTTGAGTGTAGAATTTCATTGTATTTTCTGTGTTGTAAAATTTTATTATTTCTGTACTTTTAATAATAATAATAATAATAATAATAAAACAGCAATAATAACTAATATTAATAATAATAACAACAGTAATAATAATAATAATAATAATAATAATAATAATAATAACTAATAATAATAATAATAACAACAGTAATAAAGCAATAATAATAATAAAACAGCAATAACTAAATAATAATAATAATAAACAGCAATAATAACCCCTAATAATAATAATAATAATAATAATAATAATAATAATAATAATAAAACAGCAATAATAACTAATAATAATAATAATAATAACAGTAATAATAATAATAATAATAAAACAGCAATAATAACTAATAATAATAATAATAACAACAGTAATAATAATAATAATAATAAAACAGCAATAATAACTAATAATAATAATAATAACAACAGTAATAATAATAATAATAATGACAGCAATGATAATAACAAAACAATTAAAAACAACAACAATTTCAAGACAAAAACAACAAAAATAAAAAAAGACAAACCTCATCTTTTGTTAAATTTATAAAATAAATAAACAAATAATAAGTGAAGAGTTGAAAAGTAATGTTTGGTAGAGGAAAGTGAGCGAGTGTTAGTGAACGATACTTAGTGGTGTGGCTACTGGGAACTGGACGAAGGATTATGAAACACTCGATTAGAAAACTTATGGTGTGTGTGTGTGTGTGTGTGTGTGTGTGTGTGTGTGTGTAGTTCTCATGACCCTAGGAAGCTTACATACACACCTGCACACAGACACAGGAAGCTTACATACACACCTGCACACAGACACATATATTCGTACATATACACACGATCACGTACACACATACATACACAAACAGTTACAGAAATACATGCATACATATCAGGATACAGAGTATACATACACGGAATCATACATATAGATGCAGTATGATACATCAATGTATATATATATATATATATATATATATATATATATATATATATATATATATATATATATATATATATGGTGTTTAAATACCTGTTTGGCCCCGAGTGTGTGTGTATGATGGTCAATTCTCTCTCTCATTTATCTCTCAATTTACCACCTTGTCTACTGTTTCTCCCCAGTTTATCTCCTTATCTCATTTATCTCTCAGTTTATCACCTCATCTGTCGTTTTTCCTCATTTATCTCTCAATTTATCATCTCATCTACCGTTTCTCCTCATTTTATCTCTGAGCATGTCTCCTTATCTCTCCCTTCCAGGTGTTCACTCCCTCCCCCTCCATCTCCTCCTCAATCCAGAGTCTTCTTCTTCTACATATATTGTCCAAGGTATGTGTCTCTCTGTCTCTGTCTTCCTTCACTAAATTTAGGTGTTAATCTAATCTAACCTAACCTAATCTAACGTATTCTAAACTAACCTAATCTAATCTAACATAATATAATTTGGTGGTGGTGGTGGTAGTAGTGTTATTAATAGTGTTATTATTATTAGTAGTATTTGTAATCTTTATTATCTGTTCACCATCTCAGTGCAGTTAATCTTATCTTCTTCTCTTTCTCTGCTTCTTTGTTCATTGCGTCTCCTCTTATCTCTGTTCTCTTCAAGTCTTGTCCATTATCTCTTGCCTCTTGTTATATCACGACTTTCTCTTGGTTCTTCTTCTCAATTTCTTCTTAATTTCTTCTACTTCTTCCTTCATCGTCTTACAGTTTATTCCTCATTATCTTTTGTCATTATTCTCTCTCTCTCTCTCTCTCTCTCTCTCTCTCTCTCTCTCTCTCTCTCTCTCCTGAAAAAAAGATAATTCCCAAGGCTTGAACTTCACCCAAAACCTGTAGTAAAAATAAATATAAATTCGATAAATTTGCCAAAATGTTTCGTAAATACATTCAGAATATATCTTTAATCCACGAAAAAAATCACGACTATAAGCATCTTGGAATATATAATATGCTATCAATATATTATAATTCATATAAGGATCAAATAATATAGAAAATGATATATTATTATTTTTAGATTATCAAAATCCGGGTGTAATTTATAAATGATATATAAAGAAATTACGAAAACTTCTGAGAATTCATTTAAGAAGTATAGATGCCAGAACACGATAACATTGTCTGGTAAAACAAATGAGATCACAAAATCTCACAGTAGGTTTTTTTTATTAGAAACAACTAAGAACATCCATATATATTTGTACCTATTAATTAATAATTCTTTTACTAATTCAATGATTTCTTGTATATAATTATGACTTTTATGTCTCTATTTGTTTGATTTTCATACGTAATATACTGTACTGTAAGTGAAAGAACAGTTACCTCAACTCCGAAACAAAATCGATTCGCGGTGTAAAAATTGTCATAGTGGAAGTGTAAGGTTAAGTGCCTCTGTGCTCTCAACACTTCCTGTTCTCGTCTGTACCATTTGTTGTGTCGCACTTATACCACAGACCTGTGAGAGAAAAGTGCCCTGCTTAATGTTAGAGTTAAATACTGTTTTGATAGCGTTAAGTACCTCGTTTAATATCAACATTGTTAAGTACCGCGTTTATTATCAACATTGTTAAGTACCGCGTTTATTATCAACATTGTTAAGTACCGCGTTTATTATCAACATTGTTAAGTACCGCGTTTATTATCAACATTGTTAAGTACCGTGTTTATTATCAACATTGTTAAGTACCGCGTTTATTATCAACATTGTTAAGTACCGCGTTTATTATCAACATTGTTAAGTACCGTGTTTATTATCAACATTATTAAGTACCGCGTTTATTATCAACATTATTAAGTACCGCGTTTATTATCAACATTGTTAAGTACCGCGTTTATTATCAACATTGTTAAGTACCGCGTTTATTATCAACATTGTTAAGTACCGCGTTTATTATCAACATTGTTAAGTACCGCGTTTATTATCAACATTGTTAAGTACCGTGTTTATTATCAACATTATTAAGTACCGTGTTTATTATCAACATTGTTAAGTACCGCGTTTATTATCAACATTGTTAAGTACCGCGTTTATTATCAACATTGTTAAGTACCGTGTTTATTATCAACATTATTAAGTACCGCGTTTATTATCAACATTGTTAAGTACCGCGTTTATTATCAACATTGTTAAGTACCGCGTTTATTATCAACATTGTTAAGTACCGCGTTTATTATCAACATTGTTAAGTACCGTGTTTATTATCAACATTATTAAGTACCGCGTTTATTATCAACATTGTTAAGTACCGCGTTTATTATCAACATTGTTAAGTACCGCGTTTATTATCAACATTGTTAAGTACCGCGTTTATTATCAACATTATGTGATGTGTTCCATGACGATGTTAAGCGATATCATCGGTAAGTGTTGTATTTCTGGTGGAAAGTGAGCTGTCATTAATGAACGTTGCTGTAACATCCTCTCTCTCACTACACACACACACACACGAAAATGTAAACAATTGCTAATTATTTGAAAAATATTATGACGTCATCAAGGGTGTGACGTCATTAATAAAGGTGAGGCAATGGGTCGGCGTGACGTCATAGAAGGGTGTGGCGCTTAGAGTGAGTGTGAGGGAGAGAGAGAGTGAGAGAAAAAGACTGAGGTGTGTGAGAGAGAGAGAGTTGTGTCAGCGGACCTTGGCACACATATGTCTCTCTCTCCCGGACACCACAACAATGGCCACATGGAGAAAATTTCTCACAATACACATATGTACTTCCTCTCTCTCTCTCACTCTTCTCGTCCCTTTCTATCGTCTATCTTCTCATTTCCCTCACTTTCTTTGCTTTGTTGTCTCACTTCCCTCACTTCTCTCCGTCACCTCGACCCCCTTCTCTCAGTGTTACCCACACGTATAGTATCATAATTAACTCTATAAGAAACAATGAAACTTTCCTCAACACAGTGATACCGAATGATTGTGTTATGGCGAGGTTAACACAGCGCTAGTTTCATCAGTTAGCGATAGGTGGCACGACTAAGTATACCCGTTTATTCAGGAGGGGCTAACGTGCCCACCAAAACAAAGATTCTCTGTTTGTAAATAAGACCCCACGTGGTGCTGATGACGTCATAATGGTTGTAAACAAGACCCACGTGGAGTTGATGACATCATAACACTGGACCTATCGAGTGTTCCAGCCGTCTCCCTATCTCGTCTCCTCCTTCAACCTATTCCACTTACTTCCTCTTTCATATCGCCTACCTCCCCTCTCCTCTCTGTCCCTCCACTTTCTCGTCCTACCTTTTTTCCATCTTTCCCTCCTTCCCCTTCCTTCTCCCTCACTTCTCTCTTCACTTCTTCATTCTCCCCTCCCACCTCTTTCCCTCCCTTCCTTCCCTCTCTCCCCTCTCCCTCCTCCCTCTCTTCCTCTTAACAACACATGAGTGAGTTTAAGGTGGTTGATCCTGGAAATGTTTGGGGGGAGGGGAGGAGGAAGATAGAAAGAAGAAGGAAAGGAAGATAGGAAGGAAGAGAGGAAGGAATGGAAGAGAGGAAGATTTAAGAAGAAAGTGAGAAGGAGGGAAGAAAGAGAATAGGTAAAAGGAAGAGGAGAGAGAAGAATGGAAGAAAAGAGAGAGACGAAGAAGGGAGGAGAGGAGATAAGAAAGGAGGGAGAGAGAAGGAAAGAAATAGACGAGAACACACAGAAAGATAAAACAAATAACATAATAAGTGACAGAGAAAGACAGGCACCCGGACACGGACAGACAGGCACCCGGACACGGACAGACGTTAAGTAGATGTAAAGTGTTTTGGGTGGGTGAGAGAAAGGGGGGAAGGACAAACTTGGGTGAGGGAGGGGGGGGGAAGAATCCCACCTCACGCCTGGTCGCCTCTTCGGGTCCCCAACCTCTCCCTTACTCACTATCTCACTTGTACATTTTCTCTCTCACACTCACTCACTTATGTACGCTCTCACTTTCACTCACACACAATTTTCTCACTCACTTTCTCTCACTGTGGCTAAGTAATTGTGAGTGAACGATAATGACAAAAGAAAGTGAGGTGTGTGTGTGTGAGAGACAATAACCAATCAACAGTAGTTGATTGGTTTAGTCAGGTCGTTATTGTCGAGATGGGTGTCTTGAGATAGAGGAAGGGGGGGGGGGTGCTGTAAGTGGATTGGTCTGTTGGTGTATGTATTATTATCATTATTCACAGCAATTCTCGATCATCTGTTGAGTAATAATAATAATAATAAATACAAACACAATATCACTTTCTCTTAAGGTGGCGCCATTGTCTTTCCTCCTCCATTGTTCTGAAAAAAAAAGATTCTCAAAGATCGTAAGTCAAAACAAATTCCCAATATGGCATCAAAATTACACTGTGACTCTACCAAAAGGTTTTAATTTAATCTACAGTCACGAGAAAGTATTAACGATTGTCTTTTGTTAATAGTATAGACGATATAAACAGGATCCGTGACGTCAGAGGCAATAAACGACGGTAACGTGAGATGCGACTGGAAGGCTTAGTGAGAGCATCGAGACCTCAGGCGATGGGTTTCGAACCGCCTCGGGTAGGTCATTATGTCTCCTTATGAGGCTAATGCGTCGTCCTGATTGGCTGCTGCTCTCGCCGTGTTCCCGAAGCTCATAGGTGGAGGAGGATGTTGTTTATTATTTGCGTGAGGAATTATCTTGGTTGGTACACACAAACACTTGGAGAGAGAAAAGAAATCAATTAATTCCAGAGAAAGAGAAAGAAATAGATAAATTACAAAAAGAAAATAATAACCTCAGACGCCATATTGTTTTTGTTTACATACCTGTGTTGCCAATTATGGATTATGTTGCCGCTTTTTTTGTTTACGTATGAACAGGTTGCCAGTTAACGAATTTAATGGTGTATTTTGTTTATATGTGATTGGGTTGCCAGTTGTTGTTTTTGTTGTTGTTTTGTTTGATTGAGTCTCTTGTGACACTTATCGTTTTAGGTGTGAATGTCAGCTTTGAATGTCAGCAGGTGTTGTCTACTGTAATTGTTTGGCATATGTTGTCAGGTGTTGTCAGTATGTGTGTCACCTGTTGTTAATGTCAGTATAATTGTCACGTAATGTCAGCATGTTTGTCAGGTGTTCATGCCAGCAGGTGTTGTCAGCTGTAAATGTCAGCAGGAGTCAGGCACACACGTATTGTCAGCTGTTCATATCAGCAGGAGTCAGCCAGGTGTTAATGTCAGCAGGTATTGTCAGCTGGTACAGTGTAGGTGGTGAGTCAGTCACTGGCTGACATTTGGTGTAGGTCGTAGAGGACCGCTAGGCTGGTGGGCGGCCTTGGGCGGCGTGTGGGCGGAACGGCACCACGACCC